CTCGTCAATTGGAAATTTTCTAATGAAAATAATGTTGTCAAATGAGTTTTACTCTATTCGCATATAATTTTTAAAAATTATTATTAAAAATATTATTAAAAATATTATTATATATGATTATTTTTAGCGTGTTAAATGTTTCTAAGTATTTTTACAATTTCCAACTTTTTGTACTTTTCTTAAATGATAGAATGAATAAGTTTTTTGAACTGTCAAATGCTAATTGAACATCATTAATGCATCCGAATATCATTTTATTAAATCATTTATTTTTGTATCAAGTAAAAATATAGCTTATGGAATTAATCAGAGACTATAATCTTTCTATAGAGACTACTCTTTTTTTGAAACTGATACTCTCGCTAGAAGCATTTTTGTCAGAATTCGTCGATGACAACGCTCCTTGTGACGTAATTATGGATTATTCCACTAGGCCGTTTAGTGTTTAGTTACGAATATTCTCTTCTTTACATTCTGTCTTCCTTGCTTCAAATTAAATACATAACCTCTGAAAAAATTATCGCACATACGCGTAGAAGCGATCTAGCCAGCCAGCGTCTGCGATATCGTAGTAATATTTTCGGCGCGAAATATCAAAAGCCATTTATTTGACCGGCGAAACTGGATTTTAAAAAATGCATAAAAAGACGATTAAAAGCGCGATGTTATGACAAAATTTACAAAACCTGTTTCAAGCTTTTAATTATTTCTTAAAACGCTTGTTCAGTCATATATAATAATGCTGATAACAAAAAAGTGTCGGTTATTCATGTTAAATATATAATACTTCTAACGGCGTTTTAAGATGAGTATGCAACACATCGGCCGTCTCGTGTCAGTTAATTAACTTACATTTTTCTACGTGTTAATGGGATATAGCATTCGTGATGGACGTACACGAAATACATCAGATGCCAAATAAGGTAGGTGCATAATTTTACGGAGTAATAACTTGACAATATATTAAAGTAACGTGCGTATCTTCGGAAACATAACCTTTCACGTTACGTCGTTCATTAAAGTTAAATTGACGTGTCATAATATAGTTTGACAGACATTACTTTCGTTTGTATAAATATTTTTTGTTGGTAACAATTGTATATTGTTAAGAGAAATTTTTCGCTTTAAAAAGAGTTTTATAATTATAATTTAATGTTTCTTGTTTTTAGAGCAACGAAGAATTAACTCCAGAGGAAAAATGGAGGTAAGCTACAAATTTGTAGTATTATAGCATAATACTATATATTTCTCTCTTTTCTTACGGTTCTAAACTTAAAATGTAGGGGTGGAAAATAACTTGGGGGTCTAGAGAAAGATGCAATGCGTGTACAAAATCCAAAACTCTATTTTTAACATAAGCTTACATATTAATAGTCAGTATGTCCTCCTCTAGCCTTCCTTACAGCCTTAAATCTTTTAAAATAGAATTTTAACAAATTTTGAAACAAATTAGTGTCAAATTCCATATCATTTAATACTTCTTGACTTAAATATGGCAAAATATTTTGCGTCAGTTTTGAAGGACTCAATCAAGACTTATGCTTTAGGAAAAAGATGTCAACAGATATGTAAGCAACTTTGTTTGCATATCTCCAAGAAGCTTAACTGATATGGAATTTTAGCACTTTATGTCAGAATGGTACATTTTTTATTAAACTTTTTAGAGTGGAGCATATAAAGATGCACGAACAGCACATGGGTCACGAATCTATGCACGCAGAGATGCTGATTATATTATTGGTGACATTAACAGTAGCACAGATTGCATTAGTTGAATGGAAAAAGAGGCATTTTAAATCATATCAGGTAGAGAGAGTGAGATACTTATTATCTCTAACATAAATATTTTATTTATATATAAATAAAATGTTCCGTTTGTAACACTAGCTTATAACGATGATAGCCATGTGGATTATTCCATTTGGAATAAGCTTAAAGAACCACTGGTGGAGATTTATATTTTTGTGGCTTTTATCGTCGTGTATAACAGGTCTAGTAGTAAGGAAAGCTATTCAAAGACCAATACTAGGTACAACACCTAGGTAATGTAGAATAATTATTAATGCTACATAGAAAGAATAATTACAAAATATTAACAAAGACTTTTATCTTTTTCAGACTAGTGTACAAATGGTTTTATTTCATTTATAAGCTTAGTTATGCACTGGGCATAATTGGATACATTTTAGTGTTATTTACGTTTGTTGGTCTTAATATTATATTAGATGTTAAGCCTCATGTTTGGATGGACTGGGGTATATTATTTCTATTTTATGGTCTTTATTTTGGAGTATTAGGAAGGGATGTCGCTGAAATATGTGCTGACGCAATGGCATCACATATTGGTGTATGTATTATCTCATGTTCAAACATTGCACTACACATATAACTTCATAATATTTAATATACTTTACACAGTATTACGCTCCAGGCAGTATGCCAACTAGAACTTTGGAACCAAATGTTTGCGCAGTATGCGGAAACAAGCTCCTAGTTTCCGAACATGAAGAAGGTGTGATCGAAAATACGTACAAACTTACTTGCGAACATGTTTTCCATGAATTTTGCATTAGGGGCTGGTGCATTGTAGGAAAAAAACAGACGTGTCCTTATTGCAAAGAAAAAGTCGATTTAAAGAAAATGTTTCGCAATCCGTATCCTTTCCCATAAAAAAAATTTATTAATCATGATGTTTTAATATCAATTTATTTATCTTGTATATACCTTAATGAATTATGCAGATGGCAACGGCCACATGTCTTATTCGGTCAGTTACTGGATTGGTTAAGATGGCTAGTTGCTTGGCAACCTTTAATTTTGTTCCTAGTTCATGGTATAAATTGGGCTCTGGGCCTTGAGTAAGTAACATTATTGGTGAAAACCGACTCACATACACCATTGTTGTGTCTTTGCAACGCTAAAGAGAATGATTAACTTATTCCTTCAATCGATATTGTATTTGTATTTTTGTACATGCTATTACAATTACTTTCTTTTGTGTTATAAAAAATATTTTATTAAATAGAAAAAAGGAGAGAGAGAGAGAGAGAGAGAGTATAATGCCAGTAAGAGAAACTAAATAATCCTATTCATATTTAAACATTAAGAATGATACTACGTTTTTTCTAACTTTAAATTAATTTTTATCATTAATTTTTATCTGTATTTCTCGCAATATTATAACTTCTGCTAATAGCTTCCTACTAATGATAATACATTCCATCATTCTTAAGCCTATGACGAGTGCTGCTTCCACAGTATTTGCTTTATCCAAAAATATATACAGTCGCAAGGAAATTAGTGCGCATGTATATTGTATGATTAGTGCTCACAAGGTTAAAAGAATATTAAATTAAATCGAATAGTTAGCACAAAATATACATAATATTTTCTTTTATATGCTTTTTAATAATTTCAATAATCTTTTATAATTTGAAATACAAACTGAAAAAGTACTTAACAAAATATAAATTACTTACGATAATTAGAGAACTATTTATCTATCGCTTAAAATACTTTTTGATTAGAAAATAGATATGGATAGTTTCAGCAAAAAAAAAGTTAATTATAGAGGTACTATTCAATATCTTTTCATTAACTTATATTTTCTATAATAAACTTTTTTTTGTATGTAATAAACATTTTTCTAGTAAAAACGCGTTATGCGTTAATGCATGCAGATCTTGCTGCATTTAAATAAATAAAAATCAAATTATTTATATATTGTGCATACGTAAATCACAAGAATTGTAATATAGTTGAATTTTGTTGTTAATTGTTGTTATGTGAGAGAGAATGTGAGATTTTTCATTTGTAATATTAGTTACTACTTGTAACACTTCATTTCTTAAAATTATTTCAAGGAACAAAAATATCTGATATATGTTATCTCAGCAATCATAAGTTATTCTCAGCAATCCAATTGTAACATTTGATTTGGTTTCTAATTGAGTACATGTGCAAAATTCGTCGGCATATTGTATAGTTCGATAATAACAGAATTGAAGGGAATGTAAAATGTATTTCTTTCCTCTTGTCTCTAGACTATAATTATCATGTGTAACACATCTTTGTAAAGGACAAAATCATTGTCAAAAACACTTGTTTTGCAATAAAAATGTACAAAATAATATTCTTAGCTGTGGTATTTAATTCCTCTGTAATGCGTTCTTTTGTTGATCTATTAATTTTTTTTTTCTTAGGAAGAAATAGTTCAATTTTTTTAATTTTCAAGAAAATAAATAATGATAATAATTTCAATTTAGCTAGTACAAAGCATGTATTTTTTCCATTCTCTTTAACCACTATTGATTCTCTCCAGTTAAAATTAATTAATATTGAAGATAAATCCAGTCTCTCATTTTCTATTAGGAATAGATTCACACAAGATATAACAGAAGATATTAATAAATTTCTGAGGAGATATTTAAAAATTGAGATATAAATTTTAACATAAAGAGAGAGAGAGAGAGAGAGAAAAGTTTAAAAGCCATACTGATTAATGTGTCTTTGTTTTTCATATATACAAATAGCATACTAATATTTTCCTGAATATAAGCAATAACTTATATTTAATAACATTAATCGCTAATTTTCTTTTCTTTCATGGTCTCATAATTTTTACAGAGAAACGAAGGAGGATCATCATGAAATGATTGGCGAGACAGAATAGCGACTGTTGTATTGTCGTATAGTTTCTCTACTAAAGCACTGACAGATAAGTTCCTATTAATGCATTCGCAATCAGAGATGAACAGGTAGCAGGTGTAAATGAAGAAAGTGATTTTGTTGGACGCGCATGTTGAATCCAACATGCTATGTATATGTGTATTTGTATGTGTGGGCACAGTAAGAGAGACAGAGAGAGAGAGTAATGATAACAAACTTGTTTTTTCCTATGGTACTGATGAGATAGTGTTAAAAATTAGTAGAGTCTGATCATTAGGACGTTATGGATCAAATGGATCATGTTTTTGAATTATATTTTGATTTGTTAATTTGGGATACCATGTATATATGTAGATGTGTATATATAAAGTATTTTATTTTCATCAATATACACAAGACACTCTACATATATATATATATGTGTGTGTGTGTATTTATACTTATATACATATATTTATCTGTATATCTATAGTCTAGTCTTTCGCGAACATTCGTGAGGTGTGAAGTTACGTCAAGGCGCGCAATGATGTGGGGAAAGGGGAGGAATAGTGTGCGAAATGAGGTAACAGAGGGTGAAAGAGGAAACACATTTAACGGTAGTCCCTTCAACGGGTCCGATAAACAGAGGTGTCGACGTTATTTGAGTTTTTTTTTTTTTTTTTTTGGGATGGTTTACAGACGCCACAATACGACAGGATTATCAGGATGGGTTCAGGGGTAGACATTCACACAAACACGGGGAAATTTTATAGATATATTTATTGAGTACTTAGCGTGTAAGAGTATAGAATATATGTTACCTTACTGTTAAATATATCATTACATGGTAAATATATTTATATATATATAATGATGTATAATCTTTTTAAAATAAACCTTGCGCGCGTGTGGGCACGCACGCGTACGGGTGTGTGTTCATTCAGAGTATTTACATAATGATCGCAATTAATATGTACAAGTTTACGAAAAACGAAAAGAAAAATATAGACGAACGGGCGAGCGTGTATTTCGGCCGTGTCGGTGATCGTAGGGTTCACCGACACACCAAATGTCGAGAGTAAATGCCAGGAAGGAGTCTCAGTTTTTATACTTTTTGTCACTTCTTCTCTCCGTCTATTACAAATTGACCATCATCTCCTTATATGAAAGTATAAAGGTCGCTACGGTGACACGATTTTCCTTTCCTTTTTGCGGGCACAGGTGTACGAAACTACCATCGCTACGGATAATTGTAGGTACCCTAATTAACAACATCAATGTCGCGTACGATTGTGACTCTTTTTTTTTCTCCTCCTTACGTGGCAGCTCTCTTTCTGTTCTCCATCCACGAACGATAACGGAGACATATGTGTTTACCACATTTTACGATAAATATTAAAGCGAACAATATTATATCATAGTCCAAAATAAAAATTCTCATAACACATACGTCCGCATCTGATATAGAGCTTTTTTTATCTTGACCTTTTATAATAGCATATTTTACGGTAATGTGTCAAATCGCGTATGTGTATAGAGATGTGCAATTATACACATACGATATGCATTCAAGATAAAAATGTGCATGACAATTTATAGTTACTTTCCACCGATCGTGGACGTTTAGCGTTTACCGCTTACTTAGAGTGTTGCTCCGGATAGGACTCCGTGATATCGATCGCGGAGAGATCTCGAGAGACGCTCCCTGTGTCGTCGCGTGACGTTAATATCATTTTCGATCGTATGTTATACAATATGTACAAAAAGAAAGGTCACACGCGACCGCTGCAATTTCTCTGGCTTACGAGAAAGAAGCGCGAGAGACATACGGTGTCTCGGCTCGCCAGTATATATATAAAAAAAGCGCACGACTTCCTTCCTTTCCCCTCGCAGTAACTATCTGTTAACGCAACTCTCGCATATATTTATATATATATATATATATATATATTAATCTATGTATATATAATGTCTCTTTCTCGCGCGCTTTTTAGTTTCTCACACACCCTTCCTTTCACGCTCTTTTCACTTTTTGACATATTTATCATTGTCTCTCTCGCGTTCTATCGCCGACCTTTTAACAGCATTCAGAGACATACACGATAGTTACGAAGTATTGCTTTTTCTTAATCGCGTATCGATCGCACCTGCCGATCGCGATCCGGCATAACAATAATAAATTTTGCACCTTCCTGCGACGAGCCGCGTCGAGAATCCCGTGTTCCTATCTTTTTTTAATCTTTCTATTCCAAAATGTAATAAATATTAAAAATTTGCACAAATAGAGAGCACGATTTTTCGAAAATTCGTGTAGGTTTTGATATTTTGTTGCATTTGTTTAGATATTGTAAATCGAAGAATACTAAGATTATAGTGGACATATGTTATTCTGTATTTTTGATATAAAATCTTATCATGTATATCAAAATAATTTAATCTCTCTGAAAATGATGTTTTAATTTCATATCTCTACGATTTTACAATTGTATTTGTGGCAGATGAAGAAATTGCAGAAACTGCAATTCTTATCTTGCATAGATTCGGTCGAATACATTTTTGTTAGGCCACTTAATGAGACTACATTAAAAGTTTCGCAAAGAAAAGAAAAGGTTGGCAGACGGAATTCACCCGCGGCTCTCTTGCGCTCGAAGGAAACATGCGCTAAGCGTAAAGTTAACTCGAGTACTTTTTAACGTCGTATCGTTTTTTTTTCTTTTTCTCTCTCCCGTTTTTACGTATCGTTTTGCGAGTAGACGAGTACACATAGAAAAACGCTTGCAACGGAAAATCGTTCGCCTGGGTTACTCTCGTTCGAGGCGTTGACGAAACGCTGCCGCACATGCCGAGCGTTTCTATTATAAACTATACAATAACGCGCGCGTGTCGGATAACGGCGTATTAATAGACAACTCAGTAACAAGCGCTGCTACGGAGGGGATTTTATCCCCTCGTGCTCCAAGAGAGCCGAGGAGATCATTAAGAACGTAATATCGAGGGAATGCGGGTTACCCGAGGCGACAATCGGAAACATCACCGAAGAGGCAATCTTGCCACGTTATTAAATTCGATTAGTTTAAAGTTAATTACACACGTCCGTTTTATAAGAATGATGGTCTACTCCGATGTGAGATTTTTAAATTTTCTAATTTTTCACAGCAAAATATATATATATATATAAAATAATATTAACGAATCGGTCGTAGTCCAGCTCTCTGATCATTTTCGCGTCGAATGGAATAAAATTTAATTTTTTAGTTATCAGGTGAAATTATCTCGATATTTTTTCCCACCACTTTTTAATCTTGAATAGATAATTTTTATAGTTTTCTCTTAAATATTACTCTAATACATACGTTTCAATATGTGA